GTTCATCACACAATTGAACAACCAAGAAAACAACAAATATCAGGCTGCATCTTGAAAACAACGAGATACCACATTACAACCAGTCATTACGAACATGAAATCCTCCACCCCTCCCAATACACGCTACAGCATTCATATTTTATCAAGATATATAATTCCATTTTTCAATTTTTTCAAAAGATGTATTTGATATTTTCCTTCACTTGTACTGGCCTGGAATTCAACCAAACTGAAGTGGGGCAGGAAAAGGAAGAGAGCTGTCAATCCCTATGGGCCCATTATATCTGTGACACGAAACTGACCATTACAAAATTTATTCGGATCAGTATTAAAATGATCATTATAACCACCTGTTTAAAACACTAGCCAATATATTGGCCATACTCTGGTTGATATTCTGGTCATTAAAACAATAATGTGAAAATTAAAACTTCCAAAAGTATTCCGGACGCTTCGATAGTGCAAACATTTAGAAACTCTTATGATATCTCAGCAGAACATATTCCTGTTATCTTTAAATTGCCATTCATATCTATTATATCATGTTCTGAGAGCATTTCAGTACCAAATTGTTCACAATTACATTGTTACAAACAATAAATTGTATAAATGGAAATTAGTTTCATTATCTTCATCCTCTTTTTGTCATGTTAATGAAGAAACCTTACATCACTTGTTTGTAAGTTGTCATTTTTGTGCAAGAATTATGGGAATTGGTGCAAGAACAGTTTGAAGTAATTAGACATACAAGCTGTAACTACAAAAACATCATTTTTGGAATAAAACTCACCAGATAACAAAATGTTAAACCATATCATAATTTTATTCAAATTGTTAATTTATTTATGTAGTACAAAAAACAAAAGGTTGTCATATTATGCGTTTAGGATGTTTGTTCTTTCCAATCTACAAGTTGAATATGAAATTGCAAAAAGAAATAATAATGTCAACTTACATTTTGTAAAATTGGAAAAAGCTGAAAACTGGCTAACTAATTAAACACCAGATCATCTTTTGTTTTTGTACTTCATGTTGTTAGTTTATTTTCTGTGCATGTAATAACTGTATTCATATATAAAAAAAAAATCATATTTTTGGTCGTAAATTGCATGCCAATGTTTAGTGGTTTATTAGGGGAATCATGAAGCTAATGTCCCATGGCACAATAAAATAGCATTCTTTTGAGAAAGAACGTATTTTGAGAGACTTATCCTAATAATTTTTCAAACATCTCTATTTTTAGAACAATTCCGTAGAGCATAATGTTAAACAAAAATTGCAGTTTTTAAAACCCAGGTTTTTTAAATAACTCAGGAAAACAAAAAAGTAGCACATCATTAATATGTTATTATTTCAGCCTATGTCACCAGCCTACAATTTGAGATATGGCATATCTCTGCCATAGGAACCTATGGTAAAAGCATTATAATACTGCCAAAATTGCCACTATCCACTTAAATACAACCACCACTTTCTCTGAAATTAAGCTGGTGACTCCAACATTTTTATAGTCAATATTCTTATATTTCCCGGAAGTACAATTTATTGGAATTCTGGGTATTTGAAATCATGAGTTTGGATTTAAACAACAACATTTTGGATAAAAAAATAGAAAATAATAGACAAATAATCTTTAAAACTATTCAAACTGCAACAGCATAAAATACAATGCATATGTTAATCTATAATATTATAAATTCATAATGATTTAAGAAACATTCTATGAAGCATTTGTTTTTATACTAAAATATCTGAATTAGTTTGAATAAAGCTGGAAATTATGTCCCTTAAAATAATTTAACAAATAAGGCACCAATGTTTTTGTAAGATATTTACATCTTTTAAGGACAATCGGTAGGCTGATTCCCCACTGTTGGTTCAACCCCAAAACTTGTTTGTATTCAAAATTAATTATGACAATGCATATTTATATTGAATCAAACTATGATAAATGAATTGTATTATACAACAAAGGGCAAGGTCACCAGAGTTCAACTATGTTTAGTATTTATGAATAAATTTAATATGAACTCTAACAAAATACAAATAAACTGTTTCTTTTCAAGTGTTTACCACGCCCTCACCGATCTTACAGTATGAGTAAACAAGATGTGTGATCTATGTAATTGGTTACACTATATATTTTAATGAGATGACAATTAAAATTTCTAGCAAACGTTATTCCAAAATGAACTACAAAACTGACATAACATTTAATCAGATCGGACTGCGCTCTAACATTTGGATTGTGTTACTCTCATAACTTTGTGCTAACATTTTATGTAATCATTTGCCTTGATAAATTAAAATTTTGAAAATTGGCATGAGGGAGAGGTAAAAATGAAATAATGCTTCTTTTGAATATGATTTTATTTCAAAACTTTGCAGTGCATTCCTTATAATAGTACTAGTGCTTATTCCACTGCGGACTCAAAAGTAAACATCTGTAGTCATTTTCCTTTTTTCAATGTTAAATTATTTCTTGCGGTGACAATATTTGACGCATGCGCATCAGACATAGCAACGACCACCACTACAGTACCCGACTGTGACACTTGGTTCTATGTTTATATGTGTGTATATTTAAAAATGAATGCCACTCTAAGGTGTATTTGATAATGTTTTTAATACTATGTATTTTAAACCCATTTTTGAACAACAAAATATTTTTCTTCCCGCCCCGCCCAGCGTGGGAGAGTAGAATCAAAATAAAGACGACATCGTAATGCAGCTGTGATAGGATCACAATCGACAGAATTAATTGTGAGGGTCTGTACAGTGTGTAGGGCTGGGTATATTTACTGAATGCAGTAGGCATTTAGAAAATACTTATTTTAATATTCATCGCTGTCATACTGTTCAAAAAGTGATATTTTTAAAAGACGTTTTTTTTGTAGTGTTGACAATATATCAAATCAAATAATTTTACGACACATATGAACAAGCCACGGCTATTACATGTTAGTGTGCAAGAATCCCGAATCGCATGTGTCCGATCAGGAATGGCTTCATTGATGAATACGTGGAAGCGCACTAAATATTTTATTTGAATAGATAATGTGGGTGGACATTTGGCGTTAACAGGTGCCTTGTCATTCGAATGATCCAATTCTTCCACACGTGTTCCATATAATACGTCATCAGTAGGTGGTGAGTAGTTCACACATTTCTTTACCTTTATTTGCCAGAACACAACGGCTAGGAGGTTAAAGGAGCATAATTTCTTTTGCCGTTTGCTAAACTTTCTACAACAATAGACAGCGTCATATCTCCCTAAACTGGCGCAGTCGGGGCGATTAATTTGTTTTTGTAGTTTAAATAAAATAAACAAAATTCGCGAAATGAAGGTGTGATCCCCTGTAACTGCGAAATCACCCCGACTGGTTTATTCTGCATGGCCCTCTACCGACACTGCAGGAACCCGTCGATGTTTCAACGGGTAAATATGTTAATGAGCGTTTTAGTTGACAATCATCTAAGCCAATCACATCGTCTCTTCAACTGACCTCTGACCGAGAATACGTCGGCTGATTTTTTGCAGCCCATTTTTTTT